TTATTATTATTATTATTATTATTATTATTAATATTATTATATATTTTCAACAAAAAACACTCAACTCACATATTTATAACTATCAATCTTGTAGATTAATATTTTATTATTTTTATATCATATTAATCTTAATCATTATACTTATCTAACGACTATTTATAATTTTAAATTTATCTCACTTTATATTAAAATATATTTTTCCTTTTTTTTTTACATCTTTAACAAAACACTTTTTATTTCTTTTGAAAAAATCTTATATCAAATGCAACTCTAAATATTTGCTCCTGTAGTAGCCAATATGGACCTACATGAGGTCCAAGGGGGGACGTGAATATAGATATAAAAGAAAACACTATAAAATATAGATAAAAATGCTAAAAATATTTATAATATGTAAACAATTAAAATTTATTTTAATTTAAATTAATAATATTATTTATTTATTGAAAAATACCCTATCAATATTATATTTTACATTTTTAGATATCTTTTTTTTTTTGAAAATATTTATAATCTTTCGGCCTCTTGATTGTAAGTCAATTTAGTGATTTATGAAATTGAGTAATTGGTTGGATTGTTAAATTTGTAGATGTAGAATTTTAACTTTATTTTCTGTGTAATCACATATTTTTAGATTTTTTTTTTCTTAAAAAATAGTCATTTGATAAGCTCACATCAACAAAAATGTTATGCAATGTGCTGTAAAAGTTCTATTTAAATCAAATTTTCAACCATAAAACTTATTTTCCATAAATTATAGATGTTGAACTTTAAAGTATAAATACATGAAATCTTTTTTTTTTTAAAAAAAAAAAAATATTTTTAAGGTGATACGGATTCTAAGTTTTTAGAAACTTGATGGTACACATATTAATATTAATATTTATAAATAAACACATTTTTATATTAAATGAGCATTTCGATTTAAACTACTAGCTCGTTATTTAACATTTAAAATTGGACCCTCCTGTGTAAAATTTGTAGATCGTCACTGGTATTAGCTTTGCAAAATGATATAGTTCTACCGTATAATTTTACTTATCAAATATTCAGATGTTATATATTAATTATAGTTTAGGGTTCAAGGTTTAAGAAATTTTAAATAGTTGTCCTAATTAGACTCGTAGCATACTAGCATATGGACCATTAAAAGTTGACCTTACTGGGTCACTAGCATATGGGCCGAAAATGGGCAAATTAATTGGGTACCTCTTTTAACTTACACTGGACCATCTAGTCATGAAAAAACAATTGAATTGGAGGTCCAACTAGCACCAAATATTTAGAAATCTATATCTATATCTATATCTATATCTATATATATATAAAGAGGTTGTTGGCAAAATACATTAGTAGAAAGTTTGACTAAATAAATATAATGTTTGACTTACTATTAATAGAAAGTTCGAAAAAACACATGTAAATCTTTAGAAATAAAATCTGAATCCTATTTTTTCGGTAGTAAATTTGGAGATTCTTACGGCAAAATTTGAATCCCATTTTTTTCGTATCATATTTTATCTTTTTACCAAAATATAAATCATATCTTTTTTTGTAACAACTTTAGAGATTCTTATGCAAAAAATGAGTCAATTATTTATGAAAACAATTCTAAATACAAATCAATTTAAAAACCGTGCAAATTGGATACAAATATACGAAACAAATAGTTGTATAATTTCTAACAAATTCTTCCAATCTTAATGAATAATTTTTTCTTTAAAAAAAGTGTGTAAATTGGTTAAAACCACGTGCAATTTTTATTTGAAAGTAAAACTGATATTTGGACGGAATGTACATTCAAAATTGTACCAACATTTTTTGGTAACAAAACCGGTTCATCTTTTAAAATAATTAATTGCACACCATATTTAGAAAGTTTTAGATATTTTAAATCATAAAATAGGGTAGCATTAAATGCCCCTAAAATTATTGGTTTTGTTGAATTCATTTTTGAAAATTTCGACAGATATTAAAGTGAATATGAAATTCAAAATCTCTTCTCATTTTATTTTTAATAAAATCTGCATCTAAATTTACGTGTTGTTTTGAAGTGAAAATTTGAAATTCAAAATCTCTTCTCATTTTAGTTACAAGAAAATCGGACTGCATTCAACACTTGGACCAATTTAAAAGTTATTCCTTAAAGAGAAGAAATTTATATATAATTGTTATCTCTACTCAGTCACATGATTATTTTCAATATAAAAGAGAGAGATTACAAATTAGTGAATCATATATTACCTAATTCAATATCTTAACATTAAGGAATAAATCCATAATATCATGTAAATCCGTATCTTATATTATTATATCATTAAGAATATATTATAGTTATATTATCAAATCTTTTAAAGATATTAAATCCATATTGTAAAAAAAATAATTCATATAATTTTATAACAATTCTACTACAATATTTAACAATATTCATTTTTATTATATAATAAAATAATAATTAAATATTATATACTGAACAACAATAAGTAAAACT